AATGTATATATATATATATATATTACGTTTAATACGTTTTTCTCTGAGTTTGCATGTAACGTACTTGGGGTGCCAGTTTTCCGATCTGTAAAATTGCAAAGGGGTGCCAGTTTTCCGATCTGTAAAATTGCAAAGGACAATGACAAGTCCTGGAATCGCTACAGCGCGCACTCAAACACATTTTCCTTTAGGGATTATAGTAGGCCAATATTAGGCGGGCACAGCCTTTTTATCCTTTCTCACTCTGCATGAGTCGAGGCTTATACTACACTTTCAAAGATAAACAACAGTTAGTACTTAACCCCAGTGATACGGTAATGGGCAGCAGCCGAAACTATAATACGTGAAAATAAGTTACACTTTCAAAGATAAACAACAGTTAGTACTTAACCCCAGTGATACGGTAATGGGCAGCAGCCGAAACTATAATACGTGAAAATAAGTTACTCTCGAGTCTATGTTAAGGTGACCATGCCTTGATATTTGCTTTCGTGCTGTCATCAGTAAATGTTTTCGTATGTATGATTGCACGGTATACATTCTGATCTTAAAGAACAACAAGCTGGATCAAAAAAATATTATCACGCACAAATGATGCCTCCACTATCAACTCAACAAGTTTTACAGCTAAAAAACCTCTTACTACACATACACAAAAACACCCCGATATTTACAAAATAAACTCGAGATTCTGTTCTTGGATGTGCTGCTCAAGCGGTCCCATAACATAAGCTGTTCTTAAATTAACTACGATATGTGCTCGTGCACCAGACACGTTAATACCGGAACTATATGAACACGGTGAAACATACTGGTATTTCCCTTACGTGATTTTCGCTGGCATTATCCTTTTGTTTTACGTTCTTGTTGCGTACTAATTTTTACAGCCTAAATTCAGACTCGCTGATAGCCTACATACTGCATTAAAGGACAAAATAGATACGACGTTTGAATATCGTTGTGTTGACTGCGACGTCCTTGAGGGGACTGTAAAGAACCTACTTCTGCAGAAATGATGCGAACACCGCCGATTTTACGCCGACCGTTGCTTTCTTACGGCCTTTCCCGTACTCAGAAAACATGGCCTTTAGATCGCGGTTGTCCATAATAGAGATTCTTAAATCCAAATTAGTTTAAACATCAAGATATTAACAGGTTGAGACGTCTCTTCTTTATTATAAACATGCACATGTTTGACGTCGCTGACGAACTTCCATGCCTGATTTGTGACAGGAAACGTTGTATTGTATTTCTATATCCGATGAGGTGAAATGTGGTCTTTGACGGTCGCAGGACTATGGAAAACCTTATGGCGGGTCATTTCCATTGGGTTCTATTGATGTTGATGAAGTTGCTATGTTTGAGTGACATTAGATATGTATACAGTTTGTTACAAATTTAGGAAACTTCAAGAATAAGCTCCATATGAAACAGATACTCGTTTCTAGAAGCTTTGTTTGTCAGATATTTGCATGATTTTTTTTGTTAACGTTTATTAACGTTATAACATTATTATTAAAAACGTTTTCGATACACTCGAGTGTTCTGATGGCCACGTTGGATTCATGACCACATAAATTATATCTGTAGAAACAATGCTACATTCTAACAAATAATTACTGTATGTATATATATATTCACAAACTTTCTCTTCAATGTGTAACTAATTACACATAATAATTATTTTAAAATATTATTCGAAGTACGAAAATGTAGTAGAGGTATATTGCAGGGAGCTTTAGGAGACCTACGTAAACAATCAATGAGTTAAAATATAAGTTGGAACTGTTCCAGGTCAAAAACGTTAGCGAATCAGGAAAAGCTACTGGCAAGTTATAACGCGGGGTTTGAGGAAAATCTGTAAGTTAATAAAAAGTGGTGATGTTTGCATCAGCAAATGAACAGCATACGACGCTGTAAATAGAAATGTTCTATTCAACAGTACGGATGATGTATAGCAAAGAAAATAATTTTGTGTACAACACTTGAAAGAATATGAACCTGATGCGCACGGTAGTTGGAACAATGAACCTATATTCAGATAGAATTGGACAATTAGGCCGCCGTAATTGGCCAACTGAAGGGGGCCAAATAAGCAGAAAGTAGGCAAGAGAACTAGCGTTTGTAAAATGGTCGGTGAATCGTTCCTGTATCGAAGCTTTACGACTCTGGAATTTTTAACCGTGCACAAGCTGGTTCCGTTCGAACAAGCTCCTTGAAAGCGAAAATTGAACTTTTTGACCAACCCTTGTCCTGGAGTGCCTCATAGCTTTTATCTCTGGAATCCTTTCAGCAAAGTGAAAGTTTCCTCAAGAGATACTTGCGTCTGATAACCACCAGTCTCCGATATAACTCCACATCTCAGACCCTCTTTGTCTACCACTTGACGCTTGCCACGCATCAATTGTAAGCACTTCGTCCTAATGTCGACTGTCTTTTGCTATCGATACGTCGCTATGAGGTTGCGACCCCTACCACTAGTAGCAATAGAATGTCATCCATGTTACCGTGAAGTAGAGACGTCGGAGAATCCGCTGAAAATGCCGTGATGGTCTGTTTCAGAAACTAATATTGAGTGGCACTTAGCTGCCTCCGGGGGTTGGAAAAGCCACAAGGGAAGTCAAACTATCTCAGCTCCTCAACAGCTGCTCCGCCACCGCTTTGTCCACGCAAGAGTAGAGTGTCGCGGATGTCCATAACGGGAAGGCAACCGCCATTTGACCATTGGGGAAACCTGCCTGTCTCCTAGCTTGAAGTGTTGAAAGAAGGATAGAGCATAACAGTCTAAACAGATAACAGCGGAAAGAACAAATAGAATAACCGTTTCAAGAGGGTGAAGTGGCACGCCACTTGCGACGTCGACGTCAAGGAGAACAAGCAGCTGCAAAGGCAGTGGTGGCTGCCATCGTTGACAGGGTGAAGGGCAGCAAAGCGTTACGCCTCAAGTGAAAGCTTGTGCTAGTCGAGTGCCAGAAGAATGTTGCAGAAAACTAAACAAAAAAAAAAAACAGAAACATTAAGCAAATAGGATGGATCAAAGAGATAATGGAAAAATTCTAAACCATAGCTCTATTGTATCGACATTACTCTGCCCTGTCAGATGTTGTCAAATAACAACAGTGGATTTGGCAGTTTTATACATTATGTAAAATAATCGTTGTGAAAGCGTTTAAAATGTAGAGAAATAAAGTGAGCGCTGAGTCGGAAGATGAGTTTTTTTGACATTTTAATAAAGGCGTACGATAGAGTAAGTAGGGTTGTTCGTTGAAATCCAGCCTACGACACCATTCGTGTAAACAAGGTAAGTTCGCTTCCATTAATCCTGGAATAACAAACTGCGAGCAATTCCAATCACTCGTGATATTGTTTCGAGTACGGCTAAAAACTTGTCACGTATGCAAAAAAGAAAGCTACGCTGGTCACTTTGAGACCCATTCCACACGTAGCTGGTTTTGAAACGTTTTGAAAATGGCGTACTTTCGAATGTTTCAATAATTTAGCTACTTATGTGCATAGCGTGTCAGGCAAAAATACCCTTACAGTACAGGAATCCTTTGAATCAGATGACCTTGACGTTATCGATAACGTGAAGGTCTAAAAATAATTAAGGCCAAAAGTAAACCCATTAATATAGAATAAATATGTAATCGCCAAGAATTACAGCTCTTAGTGATACTTTGCACGAGAAGCACTAATAAGGCAAAGCTGTCCCTTATCTAGGTGTAGCGTAATCTACAGTCTATTTAGTTTGGCTTGCTTGCTTGCTGACCTGGGTAACCTGAAAAATTAATCAGCGCCATATCATTTATCAATAGACTAATAATGTTAATAATAGCAGTAATAAGTTGTGTGCCCATATGTTTAAACGAAGGCAGCCATCCCGAAGCGAGTCCCGGAACGCCACTTTCCTATTATAAGACGAAAAATTGATGGTACCGCAGAGTCCCATTTGGCAGGATCGCTTGTACGTGGTTGGTGCCTGACAGTGAATATAAGTACTTGCAAATGCTCACAGATTTACAGGCAAACGGACAATGTTTGTATAAATACACCGCTATTATCGGATCAAATCCATCGACATTTGCGCAACGTTGCCCCAAAC